CTTAAGAGTGTGATCCCCCTATAGTTGGAACACACCCTTCGGTCCCCCTTTTTAAATAGGGGGACCACCACCCCAGTCTGCCAATCCAGCGGGACTGCCCCTGATGTCCACGCGATGTTGCAGAGTCTCGTTAGCCAACGCAGCCCCACAACATCCAAAGCCTTGAGGAACTCCGGCCGAATCTCATCCACCCCCGGGGCCTTGCCACCGCGGAGCTTTTTGACTACCTCGGTGACTTCAGCCCCGGAGATTAGAGATCCAAACTCCGGATCCCCAGGCTCTGCCCCTCCAACGGAGGACGCGCCAGTGGGATTGAGGAGGTCCTCGAAGTACTCCGCCCACCGACCCACAACGTCACGTGTTGAGGTCAACAGCACCCCATCCCCACTGTAAACAGTGTTGGTGGGGCACTGCTTCCCCCCCCCTGAGACGCCGGATGGTGGACCAGAATCGCCTCGAGGCCGTACGGAAGTCTTTTTCCATGGCCTCCCCAAACTCCTCCCACGCCCGGGTTTTTGCCTCGGCGACCACCCGAGCCGCACGTCGCTTGGACTGCCGGTACCCATCGGCTGCCTCCGGAGTCCCACAGGCCAAAAAGGCCCGATAGGACTCCTTCTTCAGCCTGACGGCATCCCTCACCGCCGGTGTCCACCAGCGGGTTCGAGGGTTGCCGCCACGACAGGCACCGACAGCCCTGCGACCGCAGCTCCGGGAGGCCGCGTCATTGATGGAGGCGCGGAACACGGCCCATTCGGACTCAATGTCCCCCGCCTCCCCCGGAACGTGTTCGAAGCTCTCCCGGAGGTGGGAGTTAAAGCTCCGCCTAACAGGGGACTCCGCCAGGCGCTCCCAGCAGACCCTCACAACACGTTTGGGCCTCCCGGGTCTCACCGGCATCCTCCCCCACCATCGGAGCCAACTCACCACCAGGTAGTGGTCGGTGGAAAGCTCCGCCCCCCTCTTGACCCGAGTGTCCAAAACATGCGGCCGCAGATCAGCTGAAACGACAACGAAGTCGATCATTGAACTGCGGCCTAGAGTGTCCTGGTGCCAGGTGCACATATGGACACTCTTATGTTTGAACATGGTGTTCGTTATGGACAATCCGTGCCGAGCACAGAAGTCCAAAAACAGAACACCGCTCGGGTTCAAGCTGGGGGGGCCATTCCTCCCAACCACGCCCCTCCAGGTCTCACTGTCGTTGCCCACGTGAGCGTTAAAGTCCCCCAGCAAAACGAGGGAGTCCCCAGAGGGGGCACCCTCCAGTACCCCCTCTAAGGACTCCAAAAAGGGTGGGTACTCTGTGCTGCCGCTAGGCGCATAGGCACAAACGACAGTCAGGACCCGTCCCCCCACCCGCAGGCGAAGGGATGCTACCCTCTCGCTCACTGGGGTAAACCCCAACGTACAGGCACCGAGATGGGGGGCAATGAGTATGCCCACTCCTGCTCGGCGCCTCTCACCCTGGGCAACGCCAGAGTAGAAGAGCGTCCAACCCCTCTCGAGAAGGCTGGTTCCAGAGCCAGAGCTGTGTGTCGAGGCGAGACCGACGATGTCCAGCCGGAATCTCTCCGCCTCGCACACTAACTCAGGCTCCTTCCCCGCCAGAGAGGTGACGTTCCACGTCCCTAGAGCCAGCTTCTGCAGCCGGGGATCAGTCCGCCAAGATCCCCGACTCCGGCCGCCGCCCAGGGCACACTGCACCCGACCCCTATGGCCCCTCCCACGGGTGGTGGGCCCGTGCGAAGGGGGACCCATGTAACCTTTTCGGGCTGGGCCCGGCCGGGCCCCATGGGTGAAAGCCCGGCCACCAGGCGCTCGCCATGGTGCCCCGCCCCTGGGCCTGGCTCCAGGGGGGGGCCCCGGTAGCCCGCGCCCGAGTGAGGGTACACGAAGTCCAATATTATTTATCTTCATAAGGGTCTTCTGGGCTGCGCTTCGTCTGATCCCTCACCTAGGACCTGTTTGCCTTGGGTGACCCTACCAGGGGCTTGAAGCCCCGGACAACATAGCTCCTAGGATCACTTGGACACTCAAACCCCTCCACCACGATAAGGTGGCAGCCCAGGGAGAGGTACAACATATCGTCATCTAGTAAATACTTTTATAAAAATTGTTTCAATGGTTTAGAGTTGGACCTTAGTTTCAAATAGAGCTAAATTAATAGACCAAAAATCAACCATCTGGTATTAAAGTCTTTATGGTTGTTCATTTGGCATTTAAGCAGGTAAAGCTTTATATTACATTTTTAAGTAAAACATGAGTGACGTCTTTCTGCGGAATTTCAAAAGAGCATCAAATCTAACCTGTCTGTCTAGTAACGTTCTTCCACTATCAAAAACAAATGTGCTCAGTTTGATCTGAATGAACCAAGATTAGACTATTAACCAGACAAATGCAAAACTGTGGGATCATTTTCAATCTCTGTGAAAATACTTTGTAAGATTTCCCCCATGTATTCCATTTAATGGAGATCCACAAACTGAATGCTCTGGTGCTTCTGCAGTAGATAAGCGCACTTCCTTATCATAGTCACAGTCAATCAGCTAATCTGATTAAAGGGAAAAAGACATCCCCTTGCAAAGATAACAGTAGAAAATGGTTCAACATGTACCATAACAGCACCGCATAGTGAAAAACATTTCAAGACATACTGCTGCTACGTTTATGTAGGACCTGAAAATAAATAGGCTATCGAATGGCTGGCCACCCAAGAGAAGCAACACTTTAAATATCAGGTAAATATGAATATTACATAGTAGGGAAAATATTTCTCACTTGATTTTAGGTAGAGGACCATCAAATTACAAGATATACATTTAATGACATTTTTTTTTGTATTTTTTTTATAAATCTGTGTGTGTTTTTGCATTACAAGTTGGCAGGTGTCAGAGGTCGCAGGACATTTCTGTGGTCTAAATCTGACCAAAAGGTGAACATATTTTACAAAAACAATTAAATGAAGATTTAACTTTTTTCTTCTGTCAATAGATATCACTTTAAAACTGACATCAACATGTGTACAGATATAAATGAGACATGAGTGTTGCATTTTCCATCAGCGCCTCCAAATGTAATGACTATGTGAACAAAGTCAATTAGCCTTGTTATTGTCCATCACACTTAGTGCTCATGGATGAGATACTGAAATTGCATTAGCCAAACTGATAAATAATTTGGTGGCAACATAATAAGACAGGCGCATAACATGAGGTAAACTTTGCATTCTAAAAATTGTAATTATTGGTGTTTAAAAGTGTGAGACTTCTCAGGATCCTCCCTATACACGTGTAAGTATAGTATTTTATTTGAAATCTTCCATTTGCAAACCAACTCAGATAATTCTTCCCCAAGTATGTTTTAATCGGATTTAATCAGAATGAAAAGTTAAAACTAAACCTAACCAGCTGGGAAGATCTGGGGCAGTGCATATTCCAAAGGTAATGATTTGTCATATGATACCAAGGTCTTTTTGTCATCTAATTGTCCCTTTATGACAAATATGCATTGTGAAATGCAAGAGCCCTGTAATGGACTGTCAATTTCCTGCCATTCACCAATACTAAATTAAATACATTTCCTAAACTGAAATATTTGATAATACAGGTATAAAAAGGTGGGTTGGAAAAAGTAATAATAAATTACATTATTAAAACACTTTGTAGCAGAAGTAAAACAGCAGATTTTAGGTCATTCGTCAGCTTTCATTGAATTAAAAAAAGGTTAAAAGGAAATCTATTATTTTTAAGCAAAAGTGAGTATAGCTGAATGATATTCTGCATTTGGTTCCCCCTTTACACACATTAACTGTAACCGGGATTTTTTTTATCATGTAGACAGTGGTGCAGGACACTAGACAGACACCACATATTATTATGTCCAAAAAATTCTGGAATTAAATTAAAGCAAAGTTAAACAGCGCAATAAAAGAACAGACTTCAATGTTGCTACTGGAACTAAAAACACAGATAAAAATAGAAACAGAAAAAGCAACATTTTGTCAAATTTTCCAAAAGTCAAATACAGTTAAGAGTCCAAGTAACAAGACTTCCGAGGTAGAACAGAATCAGTTGGAAAAAACATATCAGGAAACATTGTGTTGCTTTGGACTATATTACTATATAGACTATAATATGTCTACTGGATGGTATTTTTGGCACATTGCAAGAAGGTGAAAATGGTTTCATAATTATTAATTAATAAAACCAAATTTAAAGGGACAAACTATTAATTGGTTTCACAGACTAATGCAGAGAGAGGCGCACCCAACATTTGTCAAGGGGACAGGTCATCAAAATTGGGGGGAAAAAGACAGGTAGTAAAACCACTAATCACAGGTTTGATAGGGAAAAAAAGTGAAATCTTTAGCAAAAGGAATGGCCAAAAATAAGGTGATGTAGCTACTCTGTCAAATAAGAAATAAGCAAACTGATGGGATAGAAAGCAAAAGACCACCAGACAGCAAAAACGACTAGATACCAAGAAAGGCAGACAGAAAGACAGCTCCTCATTGCAGCTGTCAGACAGGTTCTCTTCAATGGTCGGATCTTTATTGATCCAACCCAATGCTGAGGGTGCAGTGTCAAAAAAAGATATTTCCAATGGACAGATGTGACAGATGTCAATTGTCAACTTCATGTCATATATGTTCACATGGCACACTGTGTCGAAACCTTGGTTTAGCAATAAACAGGTTAGGGTCATCTGTATTACAATTTATCAAATGGAGTTTAGATACGTGTTGAAAATGAAAAAGATTTATACTCTCTACAAGATTTCACTTTTTAATGGGATATAAATATTTGCCAACTGGGATGAGACTAACTTAGGACTTTGTGCATTTCTCTCAATAGATAAATTCCAAGTGTTAACATGGCTGCTCTCCAGCAGAAGCCGGATTTTGGAGCATTCACAATTAAATGGAAAGGCGGAAAACATCTTACAGATGTCATAATGATGAGTGACATTTGGTGATCAAGGACTCATTTCTCCCAACTCACCATAGTCGCTCTCATAAAAGATGATGAACTTCTGCCAGTGCAGCTCTGAGACGAGGGTAAGAAGCACGTCATTAATGCGTACGGGTGGACGAGCGGCCAATGTGTAGCTCTCTCCGTCCTGGCTGGGGTTGAGCTGGCAGGCAGTACGAGGTGCACCATCTCCATTTCTTTGGATGAAGAGGTGGGGGATGTGCATCGCATCTGTTAGGGACTGCAGGGCACTTGCTGCTGCACAGCCCGTGGATGTAACCAGAGCAAGAATCCCCTGGTTCATCAGCTCACATGCTGAAGGAAGGAAAAAGATAATGATACTTCAGAGATGAAAGGACAAAGGACTTTTAGGCAGTAAAGGCTGTTTTAAGTAAATTGTTAAGGAACAGCATATATCAAGTCAGGAGTAAAGAAGGAACAAAGTAACCATGTAATTACATCATATTGCATGCTGCACGTCTTCTGATAATTCCAAAATAGAATTCAACAAATTATTTGTTTTAGAATTACATCTAAGCCTCTAGATGTGGGGAGCAGATCCCACAGAGTGTAGTGAACATATTATCATAAGTAGATGAGAGATTCAGAGGGGGCATCCTCCAATCCTTGTATACATAAAAGGGTGAGGCGGCTGATTAAAGCTAATATCCTTGCTGAAGGTATCTGTTGCTTGAAGAAAAATAAATTAATCATGAGTTGCAAGAGAATTCAAATCTAAGCAAAAAGATCTGAACAGACCAAGTTGAAAAAAAGTCAAACTAAAATCTAGAATACTGTGGCAAGATATGCTCCATTAGACAACCACCCAAACAAGAGCCTAAAATAAATACTATCCATCATGACCTTAATTTTCCCTATGCTTTCATGTAGGATGGAAATGTGTAAACAAGCAAGGATTAAGTAAGCATGCACGTTTCAAAATCCTTATTTATATTTCAGATTTCAGCTAAATCTGTTCTAAATCTACTTCAGTAATACTTTCATGTTTCAAAGGATTTCAATTCTAAATGTCAGAATGCCTGCCGTCTTCCACATGAATGTAAAGTTACCATGAAAGCCTGTTCTGAAAATGAAGTTAAATATTTAATGACTGCTGTCAGACTCAAGACTGCAGTAATCTTGTTAAATGGGCATTGGATCGTTCATACCACAAAACAATTGAACAATAATAAACTTAATAGAGGATTGTGGTAATTAGAACTAACTTAACTTATTTGAAATAGACCAGCTTTCCCTTCCGCTCTACCCTAATTTTCCTCCTGCCTTGTATTTATGATAAATTACAATTCACTTTGAGCCAACACCATGGGTAAGAGCTTGAAATTCTATCAATCTAAATAATGTATATACATTAACCCTGACTTTAATATTAATCCCCAAATCTGCTTCCACTCCCAACCCATGCCCTTTTGTAGGAGTATGAGAGTCAGGTGTTTATTTTCCAGCATCATTTACCATCACTGAAGAATGCAGCTCCATGCAGTTCCACCCGCATCACAAATTAACAGAAAAACTCTACCTGGTATGTTGAAAACTGATGTGAGACTCTCTGGGCCAAGCAGCCGCTTGTGAAAAATTGGAAATTGTTTAATGTTTTTCTTCCTAATTACCACAAAAGTGAAACGGGTAGGATTTTAACAAAAGAAAATATTAAACTTACATTTAATTCAGAGTTGTATTTGTATACTGAGCTTCATGATCAGGCACTGCTGGGATTTCTAATTCTTATTTCGACACGGGACAGGTGACAGCTTCTTTTAAAATTCATCCCATTTGTCACAGAGCATGGTTCTTACACTTTTAGTACAAACAGGGAGGCATAAAAACAACTGATTAAAAGCTCTCTCACTTTGTGTAATAATGTAACCTAATTAAAAGCCTTACTTTCATGTTTTCAAATTTGTTCGTGTAACAAAAACACCGGTACTGACACAAATGGGAGAAGATGACTCATGCAAGAGTTCAGTGTTTTTGGTGAAAAAGGGCATTGAGCCAAAGGCAAGATGAAGATGTGAAGAAGGGAAGAAAACAATTTGCGATTCTTTATACTGCATGTGTGTGCGTTCAGAATTTTGGCCCAGCATGTGTGTGTGTACACTGTAAGTGAGTGAAAATGTGTGGCAGAGGGGAAAGACTATTAATGTGACAAATGGCAATTTCATCTGCCGACTGCCACTAGAAGACTGCATTAAGACACTGTAACTCATGAGGCCAGAGAGAACAGGGAACTAAATAACATACTGAAGAGGAGCAGGTTGGTAAGAGGACATCCAAGGATGACGAGATGCAGTGTGGTTGCTATGGAATTTAAACAAGAAAAGGACCAGAGAACATGTTGGAACAGGAAAAGCTTATAAGAGAATTTGAAGGATTATTTGTAGTGTCTCACATGAGTGCTCAGGAGAGTGCAAAAACAGGGATCTTCTTCTCAAGGGCAGGAGGTGTGTTACTGTGTGTGTGTGTGTGTGTGTGTGTGCACGTGCATGCATGCATGTGTTTAGAAAGACATGCAGAAATGTGCTAACAAGTTCAGGGGACATCTTACATTTCCTCTGTAGTGTAATCTAAAACATGCTGACTGCTTAGTGGGAAGATGTGTAACCGACGGGACTACAAATACAGAGGTTTACCTCTGACAATGTCTACAACTGTCAGTTGGCAACAATAACATGTACTGAATATGCAGAAAACATGGAGCCTTTTCACATGAGTCACTGCTTCCTTTAACCAGATGCAGCCCACACACTAAACTTTTCATTGCTCTAGAAAACTGAAGGTTGACTTGACTAAAAATCACACATTGGCAAATATAGGTTAAAAAAAATGCAGAGGAAAAATAAATTATCTCTGTGTTATACTGACCAAAATACCTATGTAATATAACAGATTTTCTAATGGATTGAGATTGGAGACTGGCTGGATTTTGAAGACTGTTCCTTAGAGCATATGTTGACCAAATGTTGTGTATCTGAAATGAATAGCTCAATTTTTTCAAATCTCTGCTTGGTTGCTTTTCAGCTCTGATGTTTTTCGAGGTGCAGGACACTTCTAGAGGCTGTGCTGAAAAAAGAGCTTTCATCTCAGCCACCCTCATCCTCAATGAAAATTCAAAGATAAACTCAGTGATTCTGGGTTCCTAAGTTGATTTTAGACTTATCTTCAAAATAAAATTATTGAGTACTATTTGGATCTTGTATATTCATTGTAATCATAATGTTATCATCATTAATCTGGTAATGGTAAAAAACATAAACATAATTTCTGCTGCATGGCCTCTATGCAAACTTTTTCATTTTCCTTTTTTACACTTATAGACCATACTCATGTCCCTTTTAGTAAAAACTATGGCTAAAGTGCTTCTGTAGTCATTTTAGCATAATGGACACCCCAGGCCCATTATATCTCATACAGCCCACTGACAGGAGGGAGGAATTCTCACCAGTCATTGGCAAGGATGATAATAGTGGAATAATGAGTCTTAAATGTTCCCACTGAAGTGGACAGAGGCCATCATTCATTCCCTGCTAGCCATCTGACATCTAATGTCAGCATCTAATAGCAAGTTTATACATATATCTTAACAGAATAGTCTCCATTTTGTAAAAAGGCATACCAAGTATGAAAGAATCATGCTGTTACTGATTAATGCTTGTGGTAAAACAGATACATTCAACAGAAAGTAATGGTGGCATGTAATAGTTACTTTCTCAAATGAGGAATGCACTAATTTCCCAAACCATTATAGATCTATTTAATCTCATTAATATGTCTTCAGGAAGAACATATTCTTAAACACTTTCCAGTACCGCTTGAAAAAATTCAAACATCAGATAACTGTCATTACAAAGTTAGCAATCTTTCCTAATTTATAGCAAATTCAGCAACCTATGCAGAAGAAACTGGGGGGAGACCATACACTGTATGTAACTGAAATATAAAAGACAGCCAGTACATGGATTAAGACTGATCAACAAAAGCACATGTCATTTTGTATCACTGGATTAACTCAGCTTTGGCCAGATGGCCTATGAATGAGTAAAATGATCATCAAGACACCAAGCTGACACCAGGCTCATCACAACATTTTTCCACACAATCTGTTTTCCCATGACAACTGGATGTCAGTGTCTTGCCCTCATTTTATCAATGTAATGTGAAAGGATGACACCAACCACCTAACCACTGTCGTAATGGATATGTAAGTACACAGCACTTGACTTAAATGTTGAAATGTCAACATCACTCTAATCTGAAATAGCAACAGCAGAACTTTGAAATAAATGACACCGACTGTATTACTGTATGGTTCTGCACACATACTCTTTCTCACACTGTCTACACAGACAGACATGTATATTTTCACAAACAAACACACCCACATAAAGACAGACGTATAGATATTGCCATGTACTTCCCATCTCATTTTTAGCAACTTCAATGAACATTTTGCACTTCACCACAGCAAGAGAAGAAATGTGAGACATGAGTTTATAAAGGCAGTTGAACCAAAGCTCAGTGCCACTTTAGTGAAATACTAAACTTTCTTATTTTCATTACCTTCCACACACTTAATTTCCTCTCGCTCACTGGTTTGAGGAGATAAACATCCCCAGCTCATCCAGAACTTGCTATGCTGCTGTCCGCCTATGATAAGCGTTAAGGTACATATCCCTGTCAATACTATTGATGTTACAGCTGCTCATGTCATCTGAACTGTGATGGAGTATTTTGCAACAGTAAATTATCTCCTCTAGACAATTGGCAGGTAGAATAGCAGGCATAGGCTTTGTAAAGTAGATGCTGTTAAGATTCAGTACATGCAATGAAAGTGGGTCTTGTGTGCTCACTTCAGCAAAAAGACCAGTTCTAAACATTATAACATAAGCAAAATAATTGGTTTGCCTGGGACCTAAAGATACTAAACTCACTATTTTATATTCTGACTCTTTTTAATGTTTCTCATTGCTTTTCAAATTCCCAACTTAATTATTTCATGAAATAATGAGGAGGGAAAACGCCAGAAAAACTAACTCATCAGAAAATCTTTAAGAAGCATGACTGTCAATATATTCTAAATGAAGTAGTGTTCCAATCCATAAGTAAAGGTTGCATCGTTGAACGTTTCATCCCTTATAGTTCTGTATTTAATGTTAAGCCCTAACGATCCTAAGTGGAAAGCATGTAAAAAAAACCGGAAAAGACGGAGCATAAAACGATAACACACCTCTTTCCATGCAAGGAGTGAGTGCAACTACAACTTCAACACCCACATATCCTCCTGTT